ATCTGCAGACTCAAAGGAAGGGGGAATGGATTATCCCAACCTGGTCGCAATACGAGTCGTATTTTCTAAACCACGACACAACTCCAAAATGTGTGTTTTCTCTCAAACGTGCGGTCCAGTTCAACCTCCTGTCTGCCACCGTGGATCAGAGGCAGCGAGGGGATGCTGAGCGCCTGTCAGTTCCTGTCTCGTTCAAAGCCGGCCGCATTTAATGGGCTGCCAGCGTGACCCAGCCGTGCTCTTTTGTGCTACACGATCACTGTGTTTAGGCGCGGACCTAATGCCGCCGACCTCTATTTTCTAATGGGGAAAGACCTTTAAGGGGCACTCAAGACTGAAATCACTTGTGTGTTGCTCCCACCCGAGGCTTTGAGAACACAGAGCATGTGCATCCTGTCCGGTCCTGTAGAGGAAACGGTAGGACAGATTCGTGGAGCCTGGAGCAGACATGGGAGCACTGCACTCAGCAACACAACACAGGGCGACGGTAGTTTATCTGAAGAGGTGGGGGGTGTTTTTGTGCATAGAGGCAGCCTTTTCCAAGACGCTCTCGCAAATCGGCTAAAGTGTAGATCCTAATTCCATCGAATTGTGAGTTTGTTTTTCTCAGTTGACTTTTGGGGCTTTTCCACCCGTGGTGTCCGCCACCGTGTTGTTTGGCTGATTTGTAATTGGTTGATTACAAAATGCATCTTGTTGTCAGTGTGCCCTTACATGTATTATTAATATGAAATGATGAGGCAGCTGATGCTGATGACATCATGGTGCCAACAACCTCTGATGCAACAGTAAAACCGCAGACGTCCTTTTGTATTGACAGATGGCTGCTTTGTTTGTTTGGCAAAAACAGATATTTTTTGTTGCTCTTCATGATTATAGTATGTGTCCAAATGAATATGTATGCTTTAAGCAGTAGGGGCCGAGACCCCTCCCCCTCCAGGGAGTTTCAGTGGCTGGCTGTGCCCTAGAGCTGCAGCAGGACGAAGAGAAGCAGGCCAGGGTCTGTACTCTGTTGAAATTAATCACATTACAAGACATGGCTGGCTGACGTCACTGACTGTAACATACACACGGGGCCTGCCAGTCAACACGGTCGCAATCATTTACTGCAGTTGCTCCGCTTCACAGTGACTTTGTTCAGTTGTCACACACGCTGCATTTTGTTTATCTACCTTAAATCAACAGTTTGAGGGAGAAGCGGTGCTCGTCTTTTTGATGTTGGCTTCCATGATGCCATATTTACGAAGCTGGAGAAACCTCCGCAACAAATTAGAGATGTCTTCGATTTGGACTGTAGCTCTGAGCATTCATCCTGCATACATTAGTGATCAACAATGTCAATAAATGATAACTGTCTTCTGAGCCTACTAGGTGTTGCAGGCCCCATCTAACCCATATCTATGAGGCTGATAACGGCCATTCAATTGGCTGGTATTATTCGAAGCAGGAGTCGCCCTTCTGGTTTAAGAATGTATTTATTCATTCGAACTGGTCTTCATGAAACTACCTGCTCACACTGCAGAGCAGCAGTTCGGCTGACAGCATACACACGTATGCGCGTCCATCCACAGGTGCCCCCCAAGCTGATAGAGTCTTTCCCTTTCTGGGCTGTCATAAAGGATGATAGACCTACTTTGGGAATACTGCCCACCGTCTTTGTCCCGGTGCTCCATCTTTAAACGATCTCAAATCAGTCTGGGCGTGATCTTAACCGCAAAAGGAGACGGGCATGTTTGACTTGCGCGACTTGTTCCAGTCTTTGAATATTCAGTGAGGCCTGTCCTTTGAAGCTGCTCCTCTGCCTCCTTTTGTGAGTGAAGCAGCTTTATTCATTGTGACTTATGCAAAGGGCTCTTTAACCTGGAGGGAAACCACAAAGAACTCTTGAGGGAGTTTTGCAAACCTCACTACAATGGATCATGTTTAGGGAAAAGAAAATCTTTTTCTTTTCTTTTTGACAGAGCAGAAGGAGCCATAGAGGCTAGAGGTGCATTTTACAAAGTGCCAAATCAAAATCATTGTATATTGTCAGATTTGAAAAGACCTTTGCAACATCAGACTATAGTTTAAAACAACCTAAATTGTTAATTTGTGCTGCTGTCATCATAATACAAATAAGTCTCATTATCTGTTGCCATGGCAGGAGTCATAATACACTCAGGGCAGCTGGATTCCCTCCCCACTTTGTCTTTGAGATGTCCCTTTCTTATGTCAGGGAGCATTGTGTAACCCATAAAATCAATGCCCTGGATGATTTTTTGAAGACTGCTCGGCCAGCTGCGGGAGACATCTCATTATGTTTCCACTCTCTGCGGGGTTCTGCGGCTCATGTTGTGCCATGTAGTCATGCGGGTTTTAAGCATAGAAACGAGAGCAGGTGCAGCCGTGGACCGAAAGAGCTGGAGAGGAAACAAACACAAACAACATGCCTTATCCTGCCTTGAGGTATCCCTTGTCCCCGCGGACCTCTGCTGTGCCATCGCTCTGCGCTCAGCTCGGCACGCGCAGCAGCCAAAAACCCCGAGCCTGAGCCTGCAAATGGTGTCGATCGGGCCACCTTCACCGCTTCCCGTAGAGTGCGGTACCATCTCCTCTCGGCCAGCAGGGGAGTGTGGGATCATGCTGTGATAAATGGCCACCAAGCAGCAAGGGTAGACAAGAGGGGTTCCTCCAAGACTCTTTTGTTTAATTGCTGGTCCGCTAGCAAATGGTATGATTTAATCAGGAGAAATAGTGCACGCCTGTCAGTTAGGCTCTCTGCAAAACTTCCAGAGCAGCAGATCACGTCTCAACGTTCAGGTTTGATTCATTTACTTTAATAATGTAAAGAACTTATCCAGGAGTAGATCTCTTAATAACCCCTAGAGGTTACTGATATACTGTATCCACTTCTCCAACAAATACAGGCATACATTATGAAAAATGGGACATGACAAACATACAGTGTTTCTCTCACTTCACATATGCGGAGCACATCTTGTGTTTGCATTTGTGAAATGATGCTCATATGAGGTTCGGTATTGTTTTCTCAGATACTGCGCGATTATTTCTGCATCGCATTTCTTACGTCTCTGCATGCGAGATCAAGAGATGGTGTCTGCAGTTGAGTTATGGCACTAGTGAGCGTGACAGTGATGTCAATGATGGCAGTGATTTAAAGCGGGTTTTTGTGAAATGCGTATTCGTTACATTGTGCTCCTAAAAACCCTGCATTGTTCACATTTTGCCCTACATTTGTTTCAATTTAAACACTGGTTCACACTGAATTGGCTTATCGACCAAGTTAATGGAGTCCCATAATTACGTAATTTAATCCACTGTAGCAGTCAGTCATTAATTGTTGTTACATAGTAATTACAAAGCTATCATTCATTTATCAAATTCTCAACGACAGGCCTTTGATTTTAATAATTTGTTCACTTTCTTAAAAGCATCTCATGATGGAAGCCTAATGAACCAGATAACTGCATAAACTTACTCTTCTGTCTTGCAAAGGAAGAAGGAAAGCTTTTTGTGCGTGTCTATCAAGACGTCAAAATGTGTGTCCGGCTCATTTAAATACTCCCAACACAATGATGGGGCATTGGGGGAAAGGTTGACATTTATACTCCAGCAATGTGTTATTCATTTCAACAGTCTGACAGGTACTTGCCAACGTGATGCCCCACTTCCTGTTAGTGATAAGTCGCCCGTTTGGTGCCTCTAAGACGGTTGAGATATCATTCCAGAAAACACCGGCTCTCCCATAAATACAAAACATTTAGCATCATGACTGTAATGGCATCAGCGTGTCCGTACAACTCTTGTCAAATTTGAAGAGTTTGGAGCGAGTGATGGAAGTAACAAGCTTTAGCTCGCTAGTCACCAGAATAAACTGCTCTGAGTTTACCTGTTAGCTGGCTAGCATGTGGTGTGGCTGTGGTAGACAATGATATGATAGTGATATTATGTTACATATTCATGTAAATGTAATCTCAATTTATTTATCTGTTCATTCATTGGTTATCATTTGTTGTGAATGCTAGCTACTATGCCTTTATTAGAAACTACTATGGAAACTACTTACAGTAGTAAGTCTGTCTGTCCAGGTCAAATTGATTATTATAACCCATTGTTTTCTTTAGTGCTCATGCAGATTGCCATCTCATTGACGTTAGTATATTTACTACATGAATATAAAGTAATGAAACCGACAGCTTTGCCATTTACCGGCTTGCCGTCGATTCTTGTGCCTATTTCCTCAACCAAGGGCTCGCTTGGGGTGAGACTTTGCCATTTTTTAGCCGGTTCTGTCACCGTAGTGTCTGAATTTGCTGCCCGTACTGCGGTGGCATAGAGTTAGTGTATCGGCAGAGTGACCAGGCATTACCAATCCAGTTGACCAGGGAGGCTTAAACCACATGTGCTATCCTTGTTCACATCCGTTTCTCATTGAGAGAACATAGCATTCTTTTTTTCCGTCACCATTTCAATATGCAGTCAGCATGAGCCTCGGGTAGCCAGCCAGAACGCAGACGAGGCTTTTCCATTTGTTTTCATGTTCGGAAAGACCAAAAATGAGCTACAAGCGAATTGTTGAAAGAACATTTGTATAGGAATGATTCTGTCCCAGGCTTTTTGATCCTTATAAGCAGTTTCCACTGTATCTCTGTCAACTCTAGTTGGATCTGTAATCAGTCATGACAACACAGACCCCTTTGTCTCCCAATTCCCTAGTTCAGCATGCAAACCTCATCAACATGAAAAATGGTCATTTGAAGAGACTCCAGATAATTCAGTATAATTCAATTTGTTTGCAACCTCACACTGATCCTGCTATCAATTTTCACCTTAGCGTGATATAACTTTGTCACCATTTTTTTTGCTCCCCTCAGGAGAAATTATCACAAGCCACCACTTCTGCCGCAACCGAAGTATCTCAGACCCCCCCCCCCCCCCAACCTCGGTTTCCCTGAGTCTCATTTAATGTGAGAATCCTCTCTCTCCGTCTTCCTCCACAGATCTCATGTTTTCCTGGATCTTTAACGAGTACCCGACGTTTGTGAAGCAGGATACTCGCCGTTTCATCTCGCAGGAGACGGGGAACCTGTACGTCGCCAAGGTGGAGCCCTCAGATGTCGGCAACTACACCTGCGTGGTGACCAACACCGTCACAAAGACCCGAGTCCAGGGTCCGCTCACTCCACTGGTGCTCCGCAGTGACGGTGAGCTCTGCTTTTGAACACGTTACTTGCACTAAACCACCTGCGAAACAAACACTGACAACCACAGCACACAAGACTGATGGAAGCGTGTCCTGGTTAACTGGGCCGCATTGTTATAGAATCTGCTAATTACAGTATCTTCTTATTGGGGCGTTAATCTGGATGCAAATGTTGCCTCTTCATCGTACTGAGTTGGATTAATCAAATCCATGGTTTTCCAGATGATTTAGCTTTCCCAGATTTTGCCTATATATCTTTAATCTGTATCGGCACACAGTAAATCCTCCATTAGATCTCCATGTTTGGTTACAGGGAGATCTGAGATACACCTCTACCTCAGTTTATATACTACTCTCCTACTAAGCTATACATTTAACTCTTGCCACTGTCATGATGTCTTTGGATGGTGTTTTTCTTCATTACTTTTATTAGCACAGAAAAACAACAACTTCTCCATCCTGCACTTGAATCAAATGGTTGATATTCTATAGCAGTGCTGAGAATTTGGTCGGGTCTTGGGTTGTGATAAACAAAAAAGCCGAACTTGCTCTGTTGGTATATACCTGAAAGTAGAATAAATGGTTTTCAAAGAATACAAATGAAATTCAAAGGGCAATTATCTCCTTCTCTGCTAATTTTAGAATGTCCTTTAACATGTGGTTCTGATGCTTTAGGCTGGCCTTATCAAGGCCTTATCAAGGCCAGCCAGAGGAAAGGTCACTGTCAGCAAGTAATCTGATTGTAGGCTTCTGTCCTAGAAGGGTGTTCCTTACCATATACTGTATAATGCAATGCAAGAAATATGAAGCTAAATGTAAAGTTCACTTGAAATGTCTTTGGGTTAATTAAGTACAGCAGCTCTGATGCAATACCAACAGACTCCCAGGAGGGAACACTAGTTCTTATCAAACAGCCTTGTGAGGCCTTTTTCTTGGGAGCCATTACTAATACTATTAGTATTAGTGGTAACACTTTATTTTAATGCCCCTCATTAAACATGTATAAGCAGTTTATAACACAAAAAGTATTTCTAATGTTTTTGTCAACCATTTCACTGGTCTATTAATACCAGTCCTGACCCTGTGTTGCCAAGCATCAATTCATTGTTTAAAGAGTTAATGAGTTTAATGAGTCAAAAACAAATAAATATTGCCACTACGTTATGAGCTGTAGTAATATAGCGCTCAGCTTGCGATATTGGGGACCAGAGGCTGATTTTGAAAAGAAAGAGAGAAAGAAAGAAAAAGAAAAGTTAAGGCGGTTACATGACAACTAGCAAAATCTAGTGTCTGACATTAACACAAAATTGGGCTTCATGCAGTAAGTGATAAAAGAGAAAATGTCTTTTTATTTTGTTGTTCATATTCATGATGTGTTCTTAGCTTGTTAGTACCCACTGATTTCTGGATTCACCAGTATTTTATTTTTGCTCTTCTCTGAGGTAAGAGAACATTTTACGACTGGTCGAGAACACTCCTACCGAGATAAGAAAAGACAAGTTGTTTTCACAGTCAACACATTGTTTATCCAACGCAAAGAGACAGGAGTTATACATTTGAGGAACATATAAATATCTTAGAATCAAATTCAATATGATATGTTGAAGATTATAATTATAATGATTCCATTATTAAAGTCATTTTATTGGTCTACTGATCCAAATTAAGATGATACAAACCTCGAGGATGATATTTTGTGTGTTCAGCTTCTGAATGGTTTACATACAAAAGGCCAATTGGGTTGACGACATTCTTTGAGCATTGATGACCCATCATATGTTATATAGACTTTAATTCAAGAATAAATGTAGAAGTAATTTCAGAAACATATTACCAGACAGGATTGTGAATTGCTGGCCTGATTTGAGAGATTTCTTTTTTTCACCCAATTCCTGAACGCTTTCCCCACCTGCTTCCCTCCTTTCTTTTTTCATTATACCTTTATTTCACCGAGGCAGCAGGTGTAGCAGCAAAACGTCAGCTCCACCACGGTCACGGGGGCGCTCAGGTAGGGGGAGGATGGTGGGGGGAGGATGGTGGGGGGGGGCACATTAAACAGGTGTCCCCTACAAAAGGTTATGGTATGAGACAATTACCCGTCCACTTCCACCTGTCTGCCTAAAATGGGTGATAGTGCTGTGGTTACATTCCAGTATGAGACAGTTGTGATAAGGATCTGAATTAGCTTTCACAGTCACTCGGGGAGCCATCCTGATAACACATGCCTCACCAAATCAACGAGATGAAATTGGCCTGTTTCCTCCATCTCGAGAGCTATTTGTGCGACACAGCCCTGAATTACAGCAACGGGGGGAAAATCTATTGTTACGAGAGGGCTTCGAAATACGATGTCGTGCACCCCGGCTTTGGCACCGCGAGGAGAAATGAAATGACACCCATTATAAATACATTGATATAATTTACCTTAGTGTGATTTGAGGGGGAGACAAAAATACGCACGTGCTGTCAGACACTCCAGTCTTGATTCATGAATAAGTCTCTCCCAAAGCTAGAACACCAGAGAGCCCACATTCCCTTCTTCTGCTTTATTCAGAGAGATTTTTTTTTTAGCATGCACAGCAGCAATATTATAATCCACCAGAGCCTCTTCGCCGACAGTGAATGGGATGCTTTGTAGACACAGTGGCGGTACCCAGGGGGATTTTATTGGCCTGTTTTCTGGTTCATAGCTGTTAGCACTATACAACAAGATGAAACTCATCTGGATGTAAAAGCTCAAACCATCTGTGAATTCTCAAAGATGTTGGTTTTGTTGTTGTTTTTTCCATTCAACATCAGCGTGTTGCACGTCCGCTGGAGATCTGTGTTTCGCCTTCGTTTTCTCATTATTTTCAATGGGGGAGCATTCTGTGACGGCGCTGAGAGCAGAGCATTTTTTTTGCGCTGCTCAGATTGCAGTGTTGGAAGTTGAAAAACATTTCAGTTTGTGGCTGTACTAGAAGAAAGGTTTTCAGAAGCTGTGTAGCAACAGCAGAAGCCACAGCTAGTGTTTATATTTCCAGTCTTTTATTTCTTGTTGTTGTTAAGCTGGAGTTTCAAATCAGAAATACAACTTTTTCTTTTCTCTTTGCACGAACACTGACGCTCATTTGCATTTCTCTTTCAGGTGTGATGGGTGAATACGAGCCAAAGATTGAAGTTCAGTTTCCAGAGGTCGTTCATGTTGCCAAAGGATCCACTGTGAAGCTGGAATGCTTCGCTCTGGGAAAGTAAGCCCACTCCTCAGTGTCAGGCTCAGCATGCTCAATCGCATATAAAAGAAAAAATATTACCAGAAGAGTGCTGGGATATATATATATATATATATTTCATGTTTCTCGCCGCTTTTCTGCAATCCCTCATGTGTTTCAAGTTGCACATATGAGAAATTAGAATGCACGTGTTGTAGTGTAAACATCAGTTAAAATACCTGGATTTGTAAGACGATGTAGCCAAAGTGAAGGACTAGAATAATATGCTAAACGTTAGATTACTAAATAGCCCTTAACTGTACACCTTAAACATTACTTATGAATGTTACATATGGAATAGTTACAACTATCATGTAAAAAAAAAGAAGATATTTTGGGTTGTTAAGAATCAAAGTAAAGCCCTACATGTTGAGCTCCTCAGCCTGCTGTTGCATTAATTATTAATGATTTTTATGACCTATCTGAAGGTTAATCTCTCCTTAATCTTGCAAATTAAGGGACATTTGGGATGTTATCTCAAATAATTAAGGGTCTGTGAGTTAAAATCAGATTGTGTGTATAAAGAAAGCCTTTTGTCTGATATTAATTAGTTTCAAGCATAGACTGTATGTAAGAAGTGGACTTAGTCGTCAGGATGTCCCCCATTGGTTTATGGACTGGCGTTATAAAAACCTTGAGTTCGGCATTTTGGCTATCGCCGTCTTGTTTTTTTTGCGACCAGAAGTGACACGAGAGAGAGGAGCGAAGTACAACCAAACAATGAACAAGAACACATGAAAGGGTTAAAGTTGTACGTCACAATGCCTCAAAGCATACCCTGCTTTACTGTCTATTTTACTCTAAATGGGACCATCATTTAAACTCATTAATCTCAACAACAATAACCTCATGTTTACAGTGTTTACTGAGGTAATAAGTCGAGTGAGAAGTAGTCATTTTCTCATAGACTTCTATACAACCAGAGGAGGCGCCCCCTGATGGCCATTAGAAAGAATGCAGGTTTAAGACACTTCTGGATTCGAATACATTTTTGGTGGTTTCTGCATTTTTTAAAATACTTTTTAACTTTATACTGTCTTTGATTCAGCTTTAATTCTGCTCCATCAAGGTATGAGGACATGTTTGGTAAATGTATTTACAGTTCGCTTTTAGCCGATTCAATTCTTTGGCAAACAATAATCAATATAGAACTAGAATTCTAAAAATGTTTTTGAGTTTGTAGAGATATTTAGGGATTTGAATTGCACATGTTGATGATTTAGTTTACCAATGAGCAGGAAATTGTAAAGCTGTGACTTCAGATGGTTACACTCCTCCATGCCTCTTCTCACAGCCCGGTGCCATCTATAAGCTGGAGGAGAGTGGACGGTGTACCCTTCCCCAGGAAAGTGGACATGAGGAAAGCCAGCGGCGTCCTGGAAATCCCATACTTCCAGCAGGAGGACGCCGGCACGTACGAGTGTGTGGCGGAAAACTCCAGGGGATTGAACACGGTGAAAGGGAAGCTCTCTTTCTACGGTAGGTGAACCTGACACGCATGAATATTTGACCAGCGTGCAACCACATCTGTCAGACCTGCTCAGACTAAAATTCAGCAGAAAGCGGACACAACTGCTCTTATAAAGCAGTCGGCGGCGATCGGCAGAGGCTCGTGTGGCACGCACGAGGAGGTAGGCTGGTTTTAACAGCACATCAAAATGATTAAAGGCTGTCAGCCATGATGCCTCTAATATTTTGATCCAGATTAAAGGAGTGATGGGGATGATGCTGAGCCCTTGGACACGACCTTGTTGGTGAGCCCTGTATTGGGTACCACCAGATGGCATCATGATTGACGTCCAACTTGACTGGAGTTTAAAGCTGGTAGATGTACTATACACAGGCCTGTGGCACATATGTCAGGGACATAATCTGCGCTGCAGCATCTGGAACGACCAGAAGGGGGTTCGTAGTTCCAGTCATTGTTGCTCATGGTCCCTCCAGTAGTTACACCTATTGAGTTCAGGTACGAGAAGTCATGAAATCTACTGCCACTCCATTCCAAAGCAAAGAGTCAGAAAAATAATCTGCTCTTACAAAATGACAAATATTACACAGAAAAAATAAAAACTAATTTTTGATGGAAAGCTTAATCTGCTTTTGACAGTAAAGATGTCCTGTCTAAAGTGGGTATTTATTAATATATCTATTAGATTCAACTAAACATCCCAATTTAGAGCTAAGTATATATATATATGTATGTATATATGTATACATGTATATATATATATATGTATATATGTATGTATACATGTATATATATGTATATATGTATATGTACATGTGTATATGTGTATATGTGTATATGTATATATATATGTATATGTATATATATATGTATAAATTCTCTAGATAGCACAACAGTGGTAAACAAGTCCTGAAAAACTAGAAAAATTAGCAAATTCACGAGATGTCAAGTATTATAGTTGGTTCTACTCCTTTCTTGTTTACTAACTGCAAATAATATGTCATCAGGATTAGGACCAAGGCGGTAGGTTTGCATATGGACATATGATAATGTATTATAATATCGGTATATAATACTTTAGGAGGACAGAATTGTCCCTCCCAATATTTGAGCAAACTAGTTTGCCTTATCTTCGGAGTGATGTCATATTTCCCATGTGCTCTCCCAAAGGCTATGTCTCTAAGACGAGCTAGCATGCTAGCGTTTCATTGGCTGACAGGTAGGGGAATGTCTGAAGCTTTCGCCTGATATTTGTCCCCAGATGTTGAAACAAAACCTTTGCTCTGTGATGTGTTATGGAATTGAGACGCAGGCCGAGTATCTTCGAGTTAAACTTTGATAGTGGAATATAACGGTCATATACTTTGTGACTAGACTGAAGCTCAGGGAGAACAGAGAGAATCATGAATAATGTTTGTCGATCCACACCGTAAATAATCAAAGTTAGCGACCCTCCTGACCATAAAGTTTAAAACAGCCATACACTGTAACCGTTTACCTCTCTTGGTAACTGTCCATAATCGCCAATGACATGAATGAAACAATGCATATGTTCAGGACAATATGACCAGGACTGATCTGTCCAAGCTGTTAGCTCGCTCTCTGTACAATCTGTGGATTTTCCTCCCACCTCGATTGCCCTCCGCTTGCCTCCCTCTGATTCTCCCCCCTTCGGGTCGTGCTGTGTCAGCCGTCAAACATAACTCATTTGAGGCATTAAACAATTTGCCATGATTTACAACAGTCCTGGAAGCCCTTCGCCTCACTCACTCCCAACAGCCCGGGAGCACGCTGTGATCCACCAAGGCTTGATTTGTCCCTCTGAGCTGTGGCTCCTCTCTCATTTTTGATGTGTTTTGTCAGTTTCTCCCTCCCTCTCTCTCTCTCTCTCTCTCTCTCTCCTGCTGTCTGCTGCCAGGTGATAAAAATCAGTAATCTTATTTTGAACTCCCTTTGAATTAAGCCTTTGAGACATTCGTCAGCAGTGTAAGCCAATGGGGGAATCGATAAGGGTATCTCTTGTGCATCCAAGCCCGCTGCAGTGAGCCGGGCTTTGTGTAAGAAATGGGAGAGATGAAGGTGTTACTTTGCGGTGGCACCGTGGTCACTTTAAAGCCTTCTCACACTTTATAATGTAGCCGTGAGTCCCACTAATGCAGTAGGAATGGGGGGTCTGAGTGTCTTTTGGATATGAAGGAGCTGCATTTTCAATTTAAAATGTTTCCTTCTCGTCTCGACTAAAACCGAGACAGGAATTTAATAATTGCACCGAAGCTTGAGGAGCTTCAATCACATTCACATTCAAACTCGCGGTGAAATTAGATTCATTGTATCTTCATGCAACAGAAGTTCTCTTCAGTTTGGGTCCAATTGGCCACCGTCTTTCTTCATGAGTCTGTATTGGAAGCAGTGTTCAACTACCACTCAAGCCAAAGACGAGGACTCTTGTTAAATTTCCATCTCTGACAGAAACGCTCGAGGGGAAGAAAAATAAATGAAATGTGCTTTTGCTCCCTTGTTGATGTCGATATCACTCGGAGGGGGGAAGTAAATGTGAAGCTGTGACAGGTCAGTTCCCCACCTCGTTGTACTTACGTCCGTGTTTCTGCAGACTTCACCGCTGCATTATCTCACAGTGATTTCACCGATAAGGCAAATTCCCATCTTCCCCTCCTCCTTTAGCCACTTGACGTTTGTTCTGATTGTCTGTGCGATTTGGCCCCGGTGCAGGCAGAGATGGGCTGCCGGCTCTCATTTGGTAAGCGCTGACTGAGAGTCGATACGTTGGCAGCGGGCTGAGGGATGGAGTGAGGGACCCTGTCAGCGAGGAGGAGAAGAAGAAGAAAAAACACTACGACCACAATGCAGTCCTGGAAGGTGCAGTGGGTGGGGCGGCTCAGCCAGGCTCTGATGGAGGATTGCGGTAGAATGAACGGATGTGATGCTTAATGATGAGGATGCTGGAGTCTTTTGAAGTAACTTCCTGCCATCTTTCTTCCCTGTGGGCTCTTTTCTAAACACTCGTACATCAAAGCTGTGATAGATTTCTATACATTATGAATGTGAATTAATTATTATTTTGTAACATTTTAAAGGTAAAGCAACTGCAATAAAGCTCAGGGTCACATAGACGTTACATCACATTGTTTGAGAGTAAATGGGCCTCATGCAGCAACATTTTGTTAATTTTCTCTAATATTTTCCCTTCATTTTCTGTTGAGAAAAAAACAAGAGACTCCAGATGCAGTAAATGTTCAAAACCATTCACTTTTATCATAAATTGGAGGCGGGTGGCAGATTGTTTATTATCCATTATCATAGATAACGCCACCTAAAGATAAGGGCAAAGCGTACTTGTGCTACTGGTGTCACTGTAAAATCAAAAAGCATCAGAGAGCAGTATGTAAGCCATTCAGAAGCTGAACACACGCAATATCATCCAAGGGTTTTGTAGTCTTCATTTGGATCAATGGACCAATAGTATTTATTTACTAGTCCATTCACTAGTTATTCTAAAACTTGTAATATTTTCCTCAAACTTGAAACTATAGAAATAGAATTGGTGAAACCCAGAAATCAATGGCTCGTAACAAAATGAGAACCAATCCTAATCCATAAGAGGGAATCTGTTCCTGCATGAGGCCTAATGTCTTTCCTCTGTAGCAGGACAGAACAACAACAGAAGCCTCAGCTTTCTGTCAAAGGACACGTCACCCTTTTTTCACTCTTGGCGCAGACGGCAACGGCACAGCGTCCACACAAGTTAAGTGTTAATGACCTCAGCCAACCTTGTACCGCCGCCAAAGGGGGGGATCTCACAAGGCCTGTAGTACGTCACATCATCCACAAATACAAGTGTGTCTCTGACACTGGACGGACTTTGATGTTGAATCCGTGCAGGCCTTTGACATAAATACACAAGGCCGCGCAAATACCCCCCTCTGGTCTCCACGTCCACTTCTTTTGAATCTGCCGTCGCTCTTTGTTTCTGAACACCCACATGCACAAAAGTTGTAACACACACACACACACACACACACACAGATATAATGTAGGGATGCATTTGCAGTGATTGAATTTCTCGCAGTGTTATCCCTCCCACAGCCTAAGCCAGTTAGAGCAGGCATTTGTACCGTAACTGAAAAGCCACCACAAAGGTGAGTCCTTGAGAGTGGCATTAAGGTGGAGATCTGCAGAATGGAAAAAGTGCGGTCGGCCATTACTCTTGTCCCGCCACTGGCCTTGTGTGATATAGAGTGATGGTAGCTTGACCCACACATCATCCAGAATGTACAGAGCATTACGCAGAGGGAGCTTTACTGATCCAGTTTTATGTACCGCTTTTTTGGGGGGGGCTCAATCATTAGCTAGCAGTGAGTTACTCGCATGGCACAGCAAGGAATCAATTCTCCTCCTGTATAATTATACCATCAGTTAGTCAGATTAGATCGAATGGAGCGTTTTTATGGCACCAGAAGCCACCCTCGTGTATATGTGTCTGGTTTTCATCATTTTTGTTAACTCCACACCTTAAATTAGTAGCAATAAATGAGGGGATTAAAAGTCCCACATTCAACTGTATGTGTGCCAGTGTGTGTGGGCTCGTTTTAGAGGTCTTGTGGGGACATAAATCTGACTACACACTCACATTGTGGGGATTCGCTGTCCTTATTGGGACAAAATGGGAGAAGGTATGAACAAGTTAAGGGTTAGGATTAGGCTGGTAGCAGTCATGGTTGGGGTAAGTCTGTAAGTGTTAAATAAAAAATATATGACATATCTAAATTCTTGTCCCGTTACGCTACTTTGTGATTTTAAATAATAGTAAATATATAAGTTGGCATGAACATTGTTATATACAGCGGTATGACAAAACAAGCAACAGATGATGCAGCTGTGCCACACTTCATAGTTATTGGCTTCACTCTAAAATGCAAGGATGTGTCACGTGAAATGCCTGCTGCCTGGACTCGTCTGTCCTCGCATCTTAGTCCTGGCCGTGTGAGATGTGAGCGGAGGAAAGTAGGAAAGGAATCGAGGATGTACAAAACTGGGGATTGAGACGGGCCCCAAAAAGAATGTATAAATATGCAGCCTGACAGACAGAAAAACAGCACATGAAGCTCTCGCTACTGGATAAAAAGCCTCATTGCTCTCTGATCACCAACGGTAATTAATTGAAGGCGACTTTGATAAGCATATAAACATTGTTACCATCTATATCTGAGTCGACTCTCGTATTTTCCGTGTTTCCTCCAGCCCCTCCTCATCTCATCGAGAAACCCCAAGATGCCCAGAAGCTCATTGATGACTCGTTGGTGTGGGAGTGTAAAGCCACGGGGAAGCCAAAGCCTTCTTACCGGTGGATGAAAAATGGAGAGAACCTGGAGCCTGCAGAGGTGAGATCTGCCGCCGTCTTTAGAATCGAGGATAAAGTTCCTCTCCCAAGGTCAGACTTCCGAGAGCAGCTCTTGGCACGGACACTCACTGGCGCACGCTCTGAATGAAGAGTGCGAGCGACCATGTACTGTACTCTCAACGCTCTATTGTGATGTTTGTTCAAGCTTTGCCGAGTAATTAGCATGTAATATTGCCCTCATTACAACACGGCGCCTCCTGTGCAGCAATACGCTATATACGATTCACTCCTGCAAAACGGCATTGGGTTGAAAGCGATTGGACTGTGTCTGCTGTGCTTTGCTGCGCTGAGAGTATTTCATGCTCCTCTGGAAAGCACAGTGATGTAAGAGCTACTCTTATCTTCTGTTAAATCTCTCTTTGCCAAGTGCTGTTATTAATCCTGCGCCACCAAATGTGGAAAAAGTAAGGTCCTCTATATAAAGACTGTATATCCTCCTTTCATTCCCACTCCCTGCCATCGCTGAATCCCCATTATGTATTTAATGATGAGAGATGGGCCTATTATTGGCTACAGCCAGCCTACTTGTGCATCGAAATTTAACTTGTTGGCATTTGCAAAAAAAAATAAAAAATACAATTCTATATTCCGTCATCATATTGGATTATTATTATATCGGATCATTTAGCCAGGTTGTTTGGGGAAGATTGATTGGCCACCGAGTCGCAGCTCGCACCTGATAAATAAACAGGCATTATGTTAATTTGCTTCATTATGCAAAATAAAAAAGGCGACAAAACAAAGCAGAGGATATCGATCAGTTGAATGTAATACATGTCGTTGGAATGAACCCGGTCTGTCGTTGCTGTTACTAGAGGCAACGCTCAAAACAACAACAGCAGAGTTGCTATCAGGGGAGAATAATCAACAGTCTGTTCAGCCGATGGCTTACATTTCATCAGAACCTTTTATTAGGTAACACTCTTGTGTTTGACAGTCCACCTGTTTTTCTGAGTGAAAAAAACACGAATTTTTAGTTTGTCGTATTTGGTCGTTTCTTAAAAATGTGTAAATATTGGGCGCATTTCTAACGCATACTGTATCATCGCAGTTCCTTGTGTGAATTTGACCTCACCTCTACTCCTTTCTCGTTCCATTCTGAACCGAACGCATCAAACGAAAGCACGACTGCTTTTAAAAGACATCCTCAAAAACAGGAGGAAACTACAAACACACCTCGCTCACGCTCACAATGGATGTGTGATTAAAGGTTACAATGAATGTTGATTTCTGTCTCCTCCCTTAACATAAATATAATATATGGATATATTCAGAACGCATGGGTGAATGGATTAATCATCCAAGGTGGTACATTGTTTAAAATGCCACCGTTAACCACAGTGGCTTAATGAGTGGAAGAGGGAAAGGTCAATGATGTAAAGGAGCAGTGGGGAGAGGACGCACCATTTGTTGTTATTTATTCCGCCGAATCAATTGAGACCTTTCTGATTGTACAGTTCACTGGAACTTATTTACGCTGACAGCTTTAGAAGTGTGAGCAACAGAAATAAAGAAATCAGAGTTTCTTTCACCTTTCACATGTCTGTTGAGAGTTGTATTATTTATTCCCAGATTTGTTCATTTAAGTTGGTTTTTTTTTATAGGTATGACTCACTGTCTAACTAGATCATATCAGTTGCATTCCTTCTCTGTACATACTTGGTCATGTTTTACAAAGGGTTTAACCTGCGCCAGGCCATACAACAGAGATAGCAATCACATCACATTCATAAAGGATTACTAGTGTACTGCGGTTAAAAAACAATAACAATAGACATACTTTTTGTTTTAAATACACTGTTATTGGTCGGTAGTCGGTATACGCAAGCTCAGGTATCGCAAAAAAATACTGGAAGGGGAATATCTCAGGTTACGGGCCATATCTATTGCTAGGGAAATGGACTATACAGTACAGTGGATTTCTAGGGAGTCATGATATATATAGCGGAGTATATGTGCATTCAATTATTCAATGTCAGTCATGTAAAATATTGAAGAGCCCCAACTATTTCTAGTGTTTCCCTCTAATAATAGTACCTCTCAGACTGGTTCTGCAATCACTGGTCTCTTTGTTGGACGGCCAGTTGACATGCTGCGCTGTGCCCTTATGGATTACGAGACTCCTGTTGTTGATGCTTTTGTATCACTGCCCTGTGTGGAAATAGCAATGGTTTATTGGAATGCTTCTTTTTCTTTTGGCTGTTTTCATCGCAAGGACTTCACTCTCTGCTGCGTTATTGACAATGGCTGCAGGATTAAGTGGCTCTGCAATTAAAGGGGAAACTCCAGCGTGAAACAAGATTAATCCACTTGAATCAGTGTGTGACCACCATATACATGGTGTGGTAGTTCCTGTTAGGACTGTAATGTTAAACTTAAAGTACTGTAAAAGTACTTTACTTCAGTATTTCCATTTTCTGCTACTTTGTACTATATTGTACTTTTGATAGTTAGTTCATAACTTTAGTTACTAGATATTTAGCAGATTCAGATTAATAATACAAAATCAACAAATAAATGATGTATAATTATAGAGAAAGATAAGACTCTATTGATCCCTTGGTGAAATTCCTAAGCCACCCGGCAGTATATATCATTTAAAACAATAATCCCCACCTTTATCAGCTGCTAAATTATGTTATTGTAAATATGAATGCATCGGATTTAGAATATGGTTTATTCCAAAGTAGGAATTTGCTTTGGTGTATTGATGCATAGACCAGAGAGGAAAAATATTACTATCAAAACTGCTAATTTAAAATGAACAAATATCTACAATGTAAGTGTTTCAAAAAGAAAAAGCTAGACAGGAATGTGCAAGAATATATTCTAGAGGATGTGAAAGGTTCAAAGTATTGGGAATAAAAAGAATATGCAATGTGCTTTAATGTAACATATCAAAGACTGTAATTCAATAATATAACATCCATTATTCTGAAATGGGCCATTCTGTGTAATGAGTACTTTTACTTTTTGTATATTAAGTAGATTTTTGTACTAAAAGCTGTGGTTGTTAATCTTGAGAAACCAACAATAGTACGCAAGATTTAAAAAATGATCAAACTGAAAAACCCAGCGCAGAGTCGACTCTTTTTCTACTGAAAGTAGCGGCTCTAGTTTCAAAAGTCTCTAATGCCACACCCCCAAATTATTATGAACCTGTGACAGCCACAGACACCAACTTTTTTGTTTTTGTCAGAGAATTTAAGTAATTGATTGCTTTCAGGATGTAAAACGAATTTGAACAAATATATATAAAAAAAATATATTGAAGAAGATTATAAAATCAGGAAATCAGGACTTTCACTTATAACAGTATTTCTACATTGTTGCTACTTTTACTTAAAAGGATAGTTTGGGTGTTATGAATAGGGGTTTTATGAGCTCATTGTCAGTGTATTACCTATATTAGATGAATGCAGATGGCGGCAGTTTTTAGAAACGGACAGGAGTACCAGCACCGGACAGAATATTGCTTCACTTCTGTGCTCCTGTCTGTTTCTCCAAACTGGGGGCGTGCCGACTGTAATACACTGACTCTGGATAAGAACCCACTTCAAAATACCCGAACTATCCCTTTAAGTAAAAGAGTACTTGGCAGTCCTATACCCCCCCCCCCCTCCCCCCAAACACACACACACACACACACCCTCCCTCGCTTCCCCTGTTAATTTGAGCTCAAGTGGAGCAAACAGGCTGAGCTCAGAGCTTTTGTTCTTGCTTTAGCAAAGCCATTGTTGAGCTTAGTTCATGTCGACTTGAGGTTCTTTCTTGCACAAGCATGTCGAGAAGCAGATCCATCAAATATTTCTGTGTGGAGAATTTGCTGATTTCTTTCACAGTGAGCACCAATAATCTTTTGTAGATGAAAATCAATTTCAGGTTGCTTATTCACTCCTTTTGTGTGCATTTGTATAAGAGAGAAAAAAATTATAATTTTCCACATTCACAATAGTGGATTGATATCTTTATGATGATGAAATGTAGCTTGTTTGAATTTTTATAGCTGTAAAATGATCATCATTCTCACAAAGGCCTCCAGTTATTAGTAATTCTGAGGAAGATAACTGTAAACGGCAATTAAACCAAAGGAGCTCACTCTTCTATACCATATAAGGCACTCTTTCATCCTACCATTCTCTTACGTGTTTTCACAGCTTTATGTCAAACGAATCAACCCAGCGTTGTCGGAAAATGACATTGCCAATCATTTTCCTTCAGCATAAGGCGTACAGATGGTCCCCTCAGGTCCCTGCATGAAAAACTGCTGATTTGAGAGGAACGTCATGCTTAATTAATAGCAGCCATAAACGGGAGTGTTTCCGTGCACAGACTGATATACGCCACCATTTGCCTCCCTTGCCAGCAGGGATGTTCGCCCCTGCACATCCAGAGCCGCAGAGCGTTATGGAAATTACAGGCGCAAACCTGCTCAAACACAGGATTAGTTTGTGATCCTTCAGTCGAGGACAGTCTCCCTTTTCATGTGACAGTACCTTAATCCCCCGCGAATCCGATTCAGGTCGCTCAGGCACCCCTATGGAAATGGGCTGTGATGACATTATGGGTGAGCCCCGAGGAAGACACGGGAGATGAAGGGCACACGGAGGCAGGACCTGACACAGCCGCATAGAGATGCATGAAAACTGCTCAGGGATCCAATGCTGTAGCGAGGGAGTCGAGTGCAAAGCCCAAGTTCAGAGAGATAAACTTATATCGAGGATTAAATGTCCAACAGATGCACTGAGTTTTTAGTTCACTGGGCCCAGCCGTCCTTAAATAGATCTTAATTTGATGGCTCACTGACGGGCAAGATCCTCCCCCCACCCCCAGGCGGGCAAAAAACGATCGTCCAAACAGATGAAGGGGAGGTACACAGCTTGACCATGTATGCTGGCACTTAGTATGTATGGGGGCATACCTATCAGAAAAGCAATTTTCACAATGCATTATACCTCAGATGTTACGATATTCCTTCCCCCTCTTATCCCCTCCTCCTGCTGAAGGGGAAACAGGCCCTGTGGTGCAGTCGCAGATATAAATAGGGCACGGTTTTATTTCCCTCTCATAAACATGCAGATTGATTAGAGTCATTTTCTGCTAGCCTGCCTCCATCCACCCAAGCCTTTCCCTCCATTAGTGATGAAAACCTAGATTTATTGCCACGTCTGTCACTTCCAGACCATAATTCACTGGCCCCACTGGCTGGCTGGTTTTATGTAGATGAGTGCCGGGAATAAGGTGTATTAAAGGCGTGCGTCTCTATGTCCACAGGAGCGCATACAGGTGGCCAACGGAGCGTTGTCAATCAGTCGCCTGACCCTGTCCGACACAGGAATGTACCAGTGCGTGGCTGGGAATAAGCACGGCGAGGTCTACTCCAACGCAGAGCTCCGGGTTATAGGTAAGGTTTCGGCTCGGTGTGTGTAGGCTACTGTATGTGTATGTGTATGTGTAAATTCGACATAGTGGCCAAACCGTGGAATTACAACATCAAGGTCCATCTTGTGATGCCACTGGTTGGGCCCTTACAATGGGAAAGAGACGTCTGTAAATCTGCAGATGATTTCATTCAAGTAAATCAACATCCCAGTACGAACACTTGAATAGTCCTTATTTAAGTTATCAGGTCATTAAAGTTGAAAGTAAAATGCACTAATAGCTAAATCCAGAGTTATACTCGGAAGTCAAATTTCTTTTGCTACAAGTACCACTGAGCAACTTTCATAGGAATGAACCGGGCACCACATTCAACGCTGTATCCAGTTCTCTTGATACATCCATGGTCCGTCAGGATTACCACACGTCCTGGAAAACCTGGAAAACAGTTGACCAATTTTCCAGTCATTGAAAACACATGGAAAATGAGAGAAAAAAGTGGAATGTCCTGGAAAATCTTGTGTTGTCCTGGAAAATTATTTCAAAATTGTCCTATTTTCCTCAGCTGAGAATTAAAAACTATAGGCTATAAATCCGACCTCCCCAAACCTGACAGCAATGTCCAAATGGTACTTTATGGACAAGAGTATTTTGAACAGGCTGCGTCAGGTTATGTTGTGGAAAGTCACGTAACTTACTAACGCTTACTTCCCATTCCCAACTTGTTTTAAACAGCTGAATAATTAGTTAATTATTTAGCATGTTTGGTTCAGATGTTAAATTTCACGTGCTAGCTTGTTTTGCATGCAAAGGTTTGAGGTTTTGCGATTCAACTCTAGCGATCATCAATGTTCTTTAATGTATGCAGGGAGAGAGAGAGTTTGAAAGTAATAAATGAGAAGCTCGGGCTAAAACATGAATGAGTGCCCGACCCCATGTGAGTCAAACGTCGGCTGAAAACTGGCTAATGGTACACAATGCTGCATTGATGAGGTAAAATCAAATATTTGACTTTTGTAGCGGTAGCTCACAGTGGATGTGATTAAAGGGGCTAAATTATGTTGAGGTAAACTGATAAGAGCAAACTCTACTAACCTTGAATCGCACCTTTAGGGATGTAAAGTTCAGTCTAGATTTGTCAGTAGGCAAAATTGTTGTCCACTTCTGTTATTGCTGTTCAGGCAGTAATGGCTTATGTAATTCACAAGAACACCAGCAAGGTCATCCCTGGAAATGTCCTTGCAAAATGATCTCTAGAAACCCCGTCTGTGTGCACGCTCACATTGGCATGGAGACGCGTGTGCAAGCATACATTCGACCGCATTTGTTCTCAAGTTTGCTCCGTCTTCCTCCTCTACTCAATACCGCCGGATGACCTACGGCCCCTCTCTCTCATTGGCCACTAATTGAAAAGCATTAATTATAAGACGAATATGCGTCCGGCTGACAGTGATGTATGCCAGTGCTGCTCTGTTCGCCAGCCTCGCCCATCTGCCCTGTCAAGCCTGTCACTCTCCACTCTGAGCGAGCAGCGGCTTCTCATTCGCTATTCAACCTCTAGCGTGTCTCGTCCTGATCATGTTGCTGATAGGAATTAGGCTCAACACAGCCGAGGGTAGTGGTCAAACTGGAGGTGGAGAATACAAAAAAGAAAAAGTGCCAAAGACAGTAACTTTTTGAAAAGGGCTAATATCTTTTAAAGTGGTTTATAGCCAGGGAAAGTTGTTATTTGGGCATGATCACTAAAGAGCGAGACATTTCTGTCTCTGTTGAGAATAATAATAAAGTCTGTTCAACTATACAACATCAATTGTGGGCATTGCTGTTAAGCTTTTTGATTACTAATTATTCAGATTGTGAAGAATGTAATGGAGTCTCAGAATTACCCACGGCGATAATGCAGTGTATTCAAGAACTCATTTTAGAGATGAATTATACATCGGATACTTGGAGATAATTTGAAGGAAAAGAGATGTAATGCTTTTACAAACGCCCGGCTTTAATATGCTGCTCTTGTCTCAGCCGTTGCCCCAGATTTCTCTCACAACCAACTGAGGAGCCAGACACTGGTGAAGGTTGGAGGAGATGCGCTCATCGAGTGCAAGCCCAAGATGTCTCCTTGGGGCGTGATCTCCTGGCGGAAGAGCAGCGAGCCGCTCCGAGAAAGTAACAGGTAACGCAAACATTCGCACATCTTTTGCTCTGCTTTTCGCTGTGTGGCTGGACTTCTCCGAGCACATGTTCTCATTACTTTTAGCCGGGCACGGATCCCCGGTGGCCGAATTCACGAGTATTAATACAGACACATATTATGCGAAACAACACTCTTTCCAGATGTACCATCTTGTTTCACATTTCAATATGCAACCTTCAGTTTAAGTCATGTGACCTGGCCCTCAGCTGGTTGCAGTATTGGACGAGATTCTCACTGCCACCTCGATCAGAATCCTCCTTTTCACTAAGCATAATAGCATACATTAAGGGAAAGTACACTTCCCTAAAAATGATATCTAGAGTGAAATATTATGTAACTACCACAAGATATATTTTTAATCACTATTAGCATTAATGGCAACAGACCTGAGGCAACCTAAAAGTTGCACTGTTCACTATATCTGTCCGACATGTGGATCTAGTACTCCCTGTACTTCCTGGTTCTTATGTCATGGCCGTTATCCAAAACAACACGTACGTCAGTGGCCATCGCCGTCTGATACCGACGCACTTCAGCATCTGTTTGAGACGCACCAATCTCTCAACTAACTCCAGTATGAAAACAAACAAACCTGAACTTTCACCCAGGAGGCCGCTGTACTTGTCTTGTCTGAAACCAAGTCAACGTTGACTTATTTTACCATAGTTTAAGTAAACTTACGTTAAAAGTTTATTTTGAAAAGTTGTTGTACTCTTGCTCCATCGAAAATGTCCCGTATATATGTGGGTGCCTTGGTAGTGTAGGAGTTTATTAATGTTGTTTATGTAATAGAAACATCCCAGGTTTGAGTACGGCTGAGTACTTCCCCTGTGCTGTCGCCTCTCTACTGTCCCCTATCTGAACATAATGCCCCATAAATACTTCAACTTAAAATATAATGTCTTATAGGGATGAATTGACTTCTCTTTTCAATGCAACGCAAGATTTTCACGAGTCAAACAGTCAGTGAGCTAAGAATTTTGTTTAATTTAGAATCAATGTTTCACCAAAAGCCTCCAGTCACTGCAGCATGTTAGTGCCGCATGTCCACGGAGAGATTTTGATGCCCTCTTCAGATGTGTCAGGGACAGCTAAGAGAAAAATCAGCATGAAGGCTAAATGAGTAATGATTTATGGGGTTTGAAGTGTTTTATCTCCAGATCTTTAGCACTGACCAAAACAGACCGGCTGCTGAGTAAATTCAAAGTGCTAATCAAGTACTTTTCACCTCAGTGGGGATCCAGAAATCAAATTATTCAACTTCTGACAGCAAGTTTCAGTGGAACTGAGGGCGATCCGAGCGTCCTGCCACGTCTGACCCCTGAGATGTGTGTTGTGTGCTACACGGGATAGCTTTTGCCAGTGTTTGTGTGTGCATCCGTCCGAATGAGGCGTAAAGTCTGGCCCTGTGGCCTCATTGCAGGCAGGGGTCATCCATTGGGTGTCACCGCTCTAGCATGACTCTGCTCTGACAGCAGGGCTGTGTGCACAGTGTCTTGCCAGGCTTTGCATATATACAAAGCGGTGTTGTTGCTTGTCAAACAAAGTGGCGCGGAATTTGCATAGTGGTTTCGCCGCTGGTGCCCTTCACTAGCCCTGCGGCAGCTCCATCACACGTTTCAGCCTCTCACCACCTGGACCACTTCGATTCTGTTGTTTTGAATTCATAGCGAGGATTGATTTCACATTTGTCTTTGTTGTGACTCCCTCTTGAAGTGATAAATCAAAAATGGAATTGCCCATCCCCAATGTTAAATAGATGCTTTGTGATGCTTTTCACCACTGCATATACTTGTCCTTCAAAGCTCTCACACATTCCTGACTATAAATCACATAATGACCAACTGCTGTGATAAGTAATTAATGAATCGAGATTTGAATCATTTAGGTGTTATTATTTAATTACTCTAGAATAATTAAAATGAGGGGATTCTTTTTTGTTAAAGCTGTAACTGTAAGATGCTTTTACTGCAGATGAGTTCTTTGCACTCAGAGAATCACGATGATGGCAATTAGTAGATGGATTTCTGTAACTCTGTCTTTGTTCGGAAGACATATTGAAATATGATTATCTAAAAAAACTGCTGTACAGTCCAAAACAAAATGGAGAGGTTACACATACTTAGGAAAACAAAGCCAAACAAACGTGATGAATCAAGAACATTAAAATGCAACATACTCGCATTAACACTATTCATTCCAGCAGTGATGCAAATTTGGGACGGTTGCGACACTATTTCAATAACAGATTTGAATAGATTTGCGCAGGCAGAGGACAAACCTTTTGACTGAGTCTCACTGGACTCTGTCTGAGGTAAATTCTGCTGTATGCTAATTTAATGAATTTCTTTTTAGCAAATTGCTCTGAATAAATTTCCCCTCGGTAAATGGATACGCAGTGTATATTTCCAAGGCTTTTATTGTGAAAGGTAAGAATGGAAGGAAAGGATCTTGTACTAGTTGTCTTAGTCAAGGTTGAAAGGAGTTGGAATTAAGGTTTGACATTATTTTTACGCTATAGTGTAAAGTCCTTTCCGCTTAACGTGATTGGTTGATGCATTTGTTTGCAGTGCAAAAGCTCAGACAAGTCAAACATTATTCTGAAAAAGAATTATGTTTTTTTTGTTCTGTGTGGACCTAGTCATGACAAAAACAACATTTTGGAAAAACTATTTTTCAAGGCCTTTACACACCCACGGGGTGAATCTGAATACCGTGAAAATCAAATGAGCATCCCACGAGGATCACTTCTTGGAGCTTTGTTGTTATACCTATATTTCATTGACATCTGTGTGGCACAAGAGTTAGGCTACAATTGTATGCTGACGATACTTCTTTATTTGTGGTGGCACAAACACAAAGTATTGCTTCAGCCAAACAAACAGATTGCTTGGGCAGGGGCCACTCTGGCTTCACACGAACTGCCTGACTCCGATTGTTAAAAAATAAAAATATGTGTTTGTCGATCATTAAGCTCCCAGTCACAGACACTTTCAAACTGAGGAAGAAAGATAATGAAATAGAGGCAGTTCAGGATTTGAAGTATGTTGGAATTGTTTTGGACTCCCAGCTATGGTTTGACAGACACACAATGGTAGAACTGCTCTAATCTTCAAACCTTTAGGCAAATTAGACACATTTAATACGGCTCTAACATTTATGCACGCAATGATTGTTTCTTATCTCCCATACTGCATAACCCCTTGGTCTCAGGCACCAGCCTCTGCCATTAAACAACTAACATCCCTTTACAACCGAGCTATAAACTGCGTTCTCAATCAAACCCTCTGGAACCCCCTCCCACCCTGACTGTGAAACGTTTTCTACAACAGTCAAGTTCTGGTTAGCACTCGGCCAGAACCGTCACAGTGACGGTACTTGTCTTGTCCCTTACAAATAAAATGAAATAAATAAATGAAATCATTAGTAAACCACAAATATGTTTTTATGCTTTTAGTTCCAATTGAATAAAGGATGTTTGGCTTGGACCACCTGTGCCGCATGCTCCAAAATTAAGAACAAAGAAGCACAGATTTGAAATAAAAATTCAACAGTCCCAGCTGTATTACAGTACATTAAAATGCTTTTCTTTTGTTTTTTTTGCCATAATGCGGATTATATTGCCAGCTAGGAAGTGGAGTAACTATTTACAAAGCTTGAAAACATGCCAGAGCCTTTCAAATGGGCTAATTATAACTCCCCTTACTCTCTTTCTTATTATTTCCCTTTTCTCTCATCTGTGACATACACACCCCGGTGTTGTATGCCACACAATAAACATGTCCAGCATCTGCTGTGGTAATCATTAGCGCAGTTGTCCTTTAAACGTCTCGCTAATAACAGCTGCCCCACCTGTATTCACTGTATTAGTTTTAGTACAGTAATCAGCCTGCCGGTCTTTTTGAAAACCAATACGACTTTAGTGAAAGCAGACTACTGGTGCCATTGAGTGAACTGCAAAAGCGGAACATGCTGGTGTCGCACATCGGCTGTGTGATAAGCGTGAGTTATTTGCTCGTTAATTCTTATTCGGTTTTCTGTTGAGCCCAGATAAAAGGAACGTGTTTTGCAGACATGTGCAGGCTGTGTATGCGTGCATGTCTGAGCAGGTCTGTTTAGTTTTGCACCTGTACAGAAAGGTGTGAAATCACGCGAGGTAGCTGTGAACCCCTTTTATTGAAGATTAATTGCCTTAATTGCGTAAGCACGCCACTGTTGCTTCGGCGGAAAGGGGGAACCAGTGTCACCAGCTGGGTAATCCATCTTCATAGCAGCAGCCCCCTCTTTTTCCTCCACAGAGGACCAGTGGAGGGGTGTGTGTGTGTGTGTGTGTGTGTGTGTGTGTGTGTGTGTGTGTGGAGAGGGCGGGGTTGGGGGATGTCTTATCTACCCCAGACAACCCTGCAGAGACGAGGTTTAGATGACATCAGCTGGAACAAAGCAGCTGAGAGCGCAGAGCAGAGCAGGTCTTGCTGATGAGTGCGTAAGTGGGCCGTGTCAGCCGTGGAGAGAGCAGCCTTAAAAAAAAATACATTTCAATATGTCACGGGCAGGAAGAAATCAAGTTTGTTCAGCCGCTCACACCAGACACACTGAGTCAACTCCACCCCTGCATTAATACACCATCTTTGAAAGACCTTGAGTATTCATGCAAATGTTTGCGCTGGTTCTTTCAGTGCTTTGATGGAGGCGTTAACCCCTGGAGGGAGGCATGAGAGGGCTTTCAGGCGTGGCACAGCGGATACATGTTGCCTTGTCATGTGATTTTTAGTGCACATTGCAAAAAAAGAGGATAAAATGCTTTTGTTGAAAAAAACAAAAGTTGATTGACACATAATTGTTTTGATCTTTAGCATTCATTCTCTCCTCCTCCAGGAGTTGAGGGGCGGTGAGAAATCCGGCATGCTGCAGGTATCCGTGGCAATACTATTTATTAAGCACAGTCCAAAAGGTCATACATCTAAGATATGGCAATGTGA